GCCCTACGAGGACAGGCTACGGGACCTGAACCTGTTCAGCCTCCACAAGAGAAGGCTGAGGGGGGATCTAGTGGCCTGTTACAAACTAGTCAGGGGGGATCAGCAGGCATTGGGGAAGTCCCTGTTCCCTCGAGCACTGCCAGGAGTGACCAGAAATAATGGTCACAAGCTGGCAGAGGGTACATTTAGGCTAGATATCAGGAGGCGCTACTTCACTGTCAGGGCGGCTAGGATCTGGTACCAACTTCCAAGAGAAGTGGTGCTGGCTCGTACCTTGGGGGTCTTTAAGATGAGGTTAGATGACCACCTTGCTGGGGTCGTTTGACCCCAGTAATCTTTCCTGCCATGGCAGGGGGTCGGACTAGATGATCTACTCCAGTCCCTTCCAACCCTAGAAACTATGAAACTAAGGCATGGCAGGAGAGATAGGCAGGAGGACTGCTAAAGACAGGTGGGTAGGCTGACGCAGAGGTCAGCCTCAGGACAGCCCCCCGTCACACTCGGATTCACACTTTAATCTGAGAGAGCTCTATCTAGCCACAAGGAAGATGCAATTCTTACTTCACTGGAATCTTGAAGTCACTTCTCTCAAGCACACTTTAAACTCCATTGTCATTCTCAAGACAGAAATTTTGAGAGGAGAAGTGCGGGTAGGGGGTGGGAGGCAGGGGAGTTTCACTGCCTCACTTGCAGGTTTGGTTTGTGCAGAGTTGGAGTGCCTGGGAGGATGGGGAATCTTTGAGAGTGGAGCCTCCAGCAGTGCCAGGGAAGTGGTATAGATAGATATATGCATGGGAGCAGATTATTCTCCCTTGTTAATACTGATTGGAGCATTACACAGCTATGTGCATACTGAATCCAACAGATCTTCTTGTGGAGTGAGGTGCAAGTGCATTGTGAAAGAAGCAGGGTCAGACCTTTGTCCAGCAGTCTGAGGTAAGCAATGGTATCCAAGTCTGGCCCTTGGGTATCTTGAACCAGATTTAGCTTTCTTCCATTATGGCTCTGTAGCAGGACACTAGGGTGCCTGCTACTGCGTAGTAGTAAATGGATAGCTGCCAGTCAACAGGGCAGCAGCTGGGGGTTGCTAGGGCAACTAATTGGGTCAGCTGACCGCCAGGGGGCAGGGCCTGGCTTTTATAAGAAGAGAAGGCTAGGGCCAGAGGTGGTCTCCCTTGGGCAGCACAAGGAAAAGGAGCTCTGTGGGAGTAAACAGAGCTGAGGATAACAGAGAGGTTTGATGGCTGGAGAGTGGCTGTGTATAAGGCAGGGTGGAGGAAACCCTGAGAAGGATACACAGAGATAGCCAGGTTGGCTAGGAGTTGCGTGGTAACCCAGGAGGGGGGAGATTTTGGTAGGAGTTGTGTTATAGCCCGGGAAAGGGAGATTTTGGTTTTGGGTTATTGTGTTTAAGACCGGAGGACTGAGTGAGGCTGTAGGGGTGCGAGGAGGCCTCACGGGAGCTCCCCAGTAGTCTGGGGGTTCCTGGGTGCCTTGCTCCGGCACAGAGCAGTGCCTAGGAGGCACGGCTGTTTGGTGCTGGTGGCGCTGGCGCGAGAAGCGCGGGACGAACCCCAGAGAAGGGCGAGGGCGCAAGAAGCACTATAGGCCCAGTGGGCGAGGGCGCGAGAAGCGCGAGTAGGCCCCAGTGGGGCATAGGCCCAAGAAGGCGGGTCTGGGGGGCCAGGTAAGGCCAAGGCCGCCTGAGCCCCAACTGTGAGAAGCCCGAGTCGGGCATACGACCCTAGAAGGGGTCTGGGGCCAGGTAAGGCTGAGGCCGCCTGAGCCCCGATTACGAGGAGCGTGGGAAGCGTGAGCATAGAAGGCCCAAGTTGGGCGAGGAGAGCGCGAGGAAGGCCTGAGTCGGGCATAGGACCCTGCAAGGGGTCTGGGACCAGGTAAGGCTGAGGCCGTCTGAGCCCGGAGCGTGCGAAATGCGAGGAGCGCGGGAAGCGCGAGTAGTGGCCCGAGTCGGGCAAGGATCGCGGGGTGCGGGCCCGAGTGCGGGTGACCGCGAGACGTAGGAGGGGTAGGCCCCAGTAGGGCGCTGCCTGGAAGGGGGAAGTCCCGAAAAAGGGGCGAGCCCAGTCAGAAGGCCCCAGTGGGGGCAAGCGTGGGCGGAGAGTGCAAGGAGCGCGAGGCACAGGCCCCGGCGGGGGCGAGAGCGCTGGGAGAAGCCCCAGGAGAGGGCGCATATCAAGTAGGCCTGGGAGAAGGCCAGCACAGGGAGTGGAGCAGACTCCTGGTAGAGTAAGACCGGCCTGTGCCAAGGAGGGCAGGAAGTCAGCCTCCCATTGAACAATAAAAGATCAAAGACGTGGCGGGCGAGACAGAGGGTGCGTTTGGGACCCAGACCTGGCACGGTAGGCAAGGGCGCTAGGGGAGGTCACAGTACCCCTAAGGGGCCCTGCCACAGGCTCTCTCTAGCATATTTAAGCTACCTCTGGTGCTCTGGGACCAGCCTCTAGTGTCCAGGCTTCTCAACAACAGCGTCCTCAGCATCTGTATCTCAGCACTGACTACCTGGAGTACTACACATACTGCATGTGGCCCCTTTTCTCCTTAATATGCACCTAGGGCCCAGTCCATCTGCTACAACAGTTTTATGATGCCTGCAAAGTCCCTTTATGGCAGACGTGTCATAGTATAGTTCCAGCCCCTTTATGCCATTAGGGTCACTATGTACTGCAAAGTCTGTGTGTTTGCCAAAATATGTGAGTTCCCAGTAGGCAATTGCTCTTGGTTTTAAGCATAGTTTGTTTGTTTGGGTTTTTTTATTGTGAAGATCTCCAGAGTGATACTTCACATGGCGTGGTCCTTCTTGCTGGGGTTGAGCAAACACAATAATATCCTAGTAGCTAAATTGAACTCAGAATTAGAAGAAGCCTTTGGAACCACAGAGTCCAGTCCACTGTATTTGCAGACACTCCTTAATTTGTCACTGTAGACCCTTACCCGCAACTGCAAAGATCAGTACACTATAACATGCCATTGGTAAAAGCAAGAGTGACAAAGATGTTGAAATGATAGCAGAGCAGTTGTTTAATACATGCTCCTAAGATTCTAGGGGCAGGCCCCAGGCTACAAAGGAAGGCAAAAACTCCCAGCCTGTAGCAATTTGACCCAAGAGAAATTCCTTTCTGACACTATATTTAACAAGTGATATGGTTATGAACCCACTTTTGTTTCAACTCATCAGAGTTTTCTTTGTAGAGTTGGTGATCTGTTGTACTTTCTATCCTTTCTTCCCATCATGGTGACCTTCCTTTGCTCCTCGCTTATGTCCTCAAAAGTACAATAAATTTGGCTGGATGCCTTTTCCCTGCTGACTTGCCTCCCATGTGATCCCGCCCATCAGTTCCCTAAATTTGTTAGTCTGATTTTTTTTTTTAATTCAGTGCCTTTTTTTATGCTGCTCACTTTCCTTAGTATCATGGTAGTGGGGTCAGAAGGGACCTAAACAGATCATCAGGTCTGACCCCCACCCTGGGCAGGAACGGGTGCTGGGATCATATCACCCCAGCTACATATCTGTCCAGCCTCCTCTTGAAGACCCCCAAGGTAGGAGAGAGCACCACCTCCATTGGGAGCCCATTCCAGAGCCTGGCAGCCCTAACTGTAAACTGATGTCTTCTGATGTCCAGCCTGAACCTGTTTTCTAACAATTTCCTTACTCTCTTTAAGATCTTGAAGTCTATCATTTCCTGGTTGCTCACCCAAGTTGTCTTCCATCTTTATGTTCTTGATCAATTTGTCCCCATTTATGAGCAACATTATGAGAAGACCTTTTATCCATTACTGTTGACCCTGAGTGGTATTCTGAGTTTCAAGAACGGTTTGAGAAGCTTGTCCCATCAAAATCAAGTATTCTAAGAAATAGATGTACATACATTGTAATGGTAATTTTAGTACTGAAATATAAATAGTATATGAATAATAAAACAATACAGGTAAGGCATCTGGATTAAAAATAATAAAATACTCATAAAATGTGAAGGAAGTACAGAATCATTAGGACTCCAGAACATTAAAGATTAAATTTCCTTTCCTTTCAGGTACTAAAGTCTTAAATTGCTAGCAGGTGACTGATTTGTTAGGCAAATAACTTCTTACCAGGATTCAAAGAAACACTGATCTTGGTTCATCTGCAAATGAGCAATTCAGCAAGAACAGCAATACAAGGCTGAAGAGCGAAGATTCTGAGATGGACCTGTGTTTTTATTCTCAATTATCTTGCCAGATCTAAAAATCTCATTAAAAAAGAGATCTCAGATAAGGGTAGCAGATGTATTTACATGCCTAATATGCCATCTAGTCATGAATACGTAGTTGTTCTTTCTAATTTGGCAATCTGATGTACCTCATCTGTTACACAGAAAATATGCTTATTTCTGACAGGTATAAACCTACTTCTGTGGTAAGAACAGATCTACATAGCATAAAACCATAACACTAGCCCTAGGTGACCTCAAGGTGACTGACCTACTTTAGCTGACTTAACCTGTGTTCGAAAGTTTTCTTGCCTATGATGTTCTGTACCAAAAAGTTATTCCCAACATACTCTAAAAACCTGTTGGATTGCCTGTGCACTGTGCTACCCTCCCAACAGATGTCACAATAATTAAAATCCTCCAATGGGCACCAGGTTCTGCAATATAGAATCATAGAATCATGAGTCGGAAGGGACCTAGACAGATCATCTAGTCTGACCCCCTGCCATGGGCAGGAAGGAGCACTGGGAGTGGCAGGGGTCATAAGACCCCAGCCGGGTGCCTATCCAGTCTCCAATATGGATAATTCTGTTTAGTTGTTTTGAAAAAGCCTCATCCATCTTAATGGTCTATAGTGGATACCCACCATGACATTCCTCTTCATGTTCTCCCTTTTTACCTTAACCCAGAGGCTTTCAATTGGCCTATTTCTTGCTTTATGCTGCATCTCAGAACAAGTGGATATCTCTTTTATATAGAGAGCAACATGGCCTCCCCCTCCTCTGTCATTCCTAAACAAGTTATGCCCATCCATGATGGTTTTCTAGTCATGTGAACTATCCCTCAAGTTATCATTATCCTAATTATATCATACTTCGTTGATTATGTTGGGAGGTCTAGCTTTTCCTGCTTATTCCTTATGCTTCTTATGTTAGTGGATTAACATCTTGGGTGAATAGTTAATTGCTCTAATTTCCCTCTGAGAACTTGGCTAGAGCTCTCCTATTGTTTCCTCTTACCTGAGTGTTTATTTATGTTACCTGTTTCTTATCTCTGGACTTTTATCTCTGCCCCCTGTAGTTTGCTGGCAACACTACCTACATACACATGTATTGATCTTTGGGATGTATGTGCTCTTATGTAGGCCATCACCCTTGACCAAAATGATCAGTGAGAACACAATCCGAGCCCCTTTCCCCTTCACCAGAGCCCTATAGTCACTTTTTAGTCTGTGAAGGGTCATCCCATTAACTTTAGTGCCCACATACATGAACATATGTAAACAGTAAATCCCTGTTTACTTTAAACATCAGTTTATAGCTCTCCATCATATCCCCTTTCATTCTTTAAGTTGAACAATCCTAGCCTTTTTTTGCTCCTTATAAGGGATCCTTTCCATACACCTTATGATCTTTGTTGCGTTTTTTTTTTGTTTTTTTTTTTAAACCTCTGTGATACCTTCTGGAGGTTGGGGGACCAGACCTGTATCTGTTATTCAAGGAGTGTACATACCAGAGATTTATAAAATGACATTTTTCTGATTTGTTTTCAGTTCCCTTCTGGATAATTCCTAATATTTTATTTGGCTAATAGAATTTGTACAGCATGTATATTCTGAAATAGCACTGACTTCAAAAGAAGTTGAGAACACTTAATGCCTTACAGATAGCACTCAGTGTTTCACCCTGTCAAGACCTTGTACTTCCCTTACAAGTTTTGTAAATG